CGATTGTGTAGCTGCAATGGGTATGGTGGCCATTTGTGTTCAGATGTGGAGTATAAATATCGTACGAGGACAAGAAGTGGTCCGGTTGCGAGTAGGACTGAAAACAGCATCGGTAATGTTTTTTGTGGCTATCATAGGCTTCTGATTTTAGCAGGGAAATATGTGGTTGGTTCAAACGGGTGTGCAGTCTTGTTCGCTATGGATGATGGGGCGCGCCAGGGGTGATGGATTGGCGCGGCGCCAGGCCCTTTCTTACTTTTGCCCAGAAATTCGGCGCAGCTCGGGTGGGGGCATTTTGCACTTTCGCTGCTTCACTAGTTCCGGTTTACAAGTATCACTCTGGTGAAACCTGTAACTCTTGTAATGCCGGTGAAAGCTCGTCGAGCCACCATGGTAAATTTGTCAACTCAAGAAAAGGTTCTCTAGGGAGATCGATACGCCGATGGAAAGTAGCAAAAGTGCAAAATGCCCCGCGTAGCCGAACTACCCCCAAAAATTCTTAGCAATTTGTCACAATAACCGAAAAATTTCCATCTTTAGTGCGCGCAACGCCCATGCTTGATGGCTCTGGCAGCTGGCAGTAGACTGCTCTGAATTATTGACCGGTTCAGGTGGGGTGGGTGGGGAATGATAGAAAAGCAGAAAAAAATGGACAGAAACCGCTTCTGGGACCTTCAATATTACCACATCCTTGGAACGATACACTATTTGCCAGCGCTAGTTTAAACTCCAAATCCGTGAGATGCGCTAGGCGTGGCAACGAACCCCGGTTGAACGTGGCGACGGCTCGGCTTTGGAAGGGAATTTTCTGTTTTTAGACGAACCTAATTATGCCCTTGCATCGCAAGATAGGACGACGCTTTCCTCAAATAGACATATCTCGCAGGAAATGCATTGTACGTCTTGCTCAAATGAAGTTCGCAGCCACGCTCTCCCCAAATTCAGCATATGGAGTGTACTTACCAGGCTGAACTTCTGCGGCAGTCCGAAGAGGTCGTTATAAGAGAACCTGTCGCTATCCGTCCAAATGTAAAACTCGGTCTTCTGCAGAAGGCAAAAATTCAACTAAGCGATGGTTGATTTTTTCCGCGCCGACTTTCCTCTTTTCTCTGCCTCTCCAGTGCCTAGTCAGTCCATCCCAGGTATCGCTCCACTTGCAGCTACTTATTTGGAAACGCCCCTTATTGCTCTCAGATATGGCTCGGATCCAGTGACAGGGATAGGGGCGGATGGCGGAAAAGGTTGACAGGAGTTCTGGCGTCACAACAATCATGGTGTTCCAGGAAAAAATGATGTTCATGTGCGTGGCTGTAGCTGCGTTTTTATTTTCGGCTGTGTTGTGTACCGTATACGCTAAAGACTTGAGAAGTGCTTTAGCAACCGGACTTTTGCATGTAAGTCGACATTATTTCGGCGAAACAGTTGTTTAGAGGAGGTAGCATTGCTTTTGCGTCAACGAGTACCCATATCCCAAATATTGCGACGGCGGTCCACCTACTTTGTCATGCGGCGACGTGCCGGTTAGCCTAGGTAGTGGTGGAATGTTCTGTATCGTGCTCTCGTGAACGCCGCCTGCGTCTTTGACTGGATTGGCAGCTACACTCACATCCCAGTCCTGGTCCGCCCTCTCCTACTGAACTATAGAAACGTTAGTGCCGTTGGGAATAGCGGGCTACTCTTGGGCTTTCCTGTGTCCCTCCACCGAATCGGATGCACACCGTTACTTCCGCGTTGCGGCATCGCATGCTTTCCTAGTCAGTCGACATGGGAGACACAGATACAACGAGAGTCGACACGCCGAATCACTGCCGCTTCAAATGGATTGAGTCCGAGTGAGGATGATGTGCCCATCAACCTGCTTGAACACCTCTTCGCGAGTCTGTAAAAAACGCTATGCACCCCCCCCCCCATTGCTCGCTTAGGTTCACTGGTGACTATGTCCTCCCTCGAAACTTGGGAATTCTGGCCTGATGAGCGCTGAGCTTAAGCCTTGGTCAGAGGAACAGAATGAGCGCGTTCGCTCTCCCTCCTTACTACCTTAGTGCCGCTGTGAACCTAGGGTACGTAATCGTTAGACCCCATCGAGGAGGATGGAAAAAAGTCTGCTCCATCGAACTGATAGTAAGGTACACACTCTGAATTTACACCGCTGGAAGGGTCGTATCACAACTGTCGCGATACGATGGCCGATAATACCCTGATATCGCTGTCCTCCTAGCGACCATAGCTGGGCCAAACACATCTACGCCGTTCTGGATCCCCTGCCAAAGGCACACGTTTCCCAGAGGTCTTTTCAGGGGCCGTGCCGTTTCCCCACGACCCGGCCTACAGGGAGACACTACTGGGACCACGGAAGGGAACAGAAGCTATATGCAAGCCAACAACACACAATATCTACTAGAGTGTTCGGCGGGCTTCATCCCCTGGCGCTCCCTCTTCCCTCAAGCAACAACAAGTACACATGAATTAGAGATCACTCACTTTTAAGGCATGCCCTGTCGATATGCTTGGGCCTAATGTCAGACTCCTGCCGGTGTTTGGGCTGATCAATACAATAGTCATTAGTCATTTAATAGGCAAATACCCATTCTTTCTATGCTCTGCCAGCTCCCATCATGACAGATGTGAGCCCCCTCCCTCCCTTGCCAGCCAAATGCACCGTCGGGCCCAAGCGGAACAAGCTCCGTTGTTAAAGACTAAGCACAGGTATGCTGCACTCCGACTAGGACGGCTACGGTGTGCTTAGGCAGCACACTGCAGCGCTCAGCTCAGGTTCTACTGTAATGTGCTCATCTGTGTCGTGCCATCATGGCAGCTTTTGCCCGAAGGTCACCTTCGACCGGCAGTGGCTACCGAGGGAATGTCCTCGGCTGGAGTAGCTGCCCAGGGCGAGCTTGCGCCTATTGCCAGCCTCGCAACTCGTTTTGGCCTTGTAGCATGATAGTGCTTCCAGGCGCGCGGTGCTCCCGGGATATGAGTCGCCTACAGGGACCATCCATATATGCGGCGGGGATGTCTTGCTGACACCGCCACTTCACCCATCTCTATTACGTACCCTCTAAGAAGACACTGTGTTGCAGAAAATCGTCGAGTATGATAATAATGCTGAAGCTCGTTATGTGATCGACAGGCTACAGGTGACTAGCTTCATTACCAGAGGTTTTTTCACTGTTGCGGGGTAATTATTTGCGTTCTTATCAATAGATGAGCCCTTTTACTGGCCCAAGTACCTTGTAGCAGGCTTCTTGAAATCTTATTTTTTTCCTTTGAGGATTAACAAGTAAGCGGTCAGAGTCACACAAGGACCTTTTTTGAAGTTCTGCGGAGAAGCCCGTCTAATGCTCATTTTTACAGACCTCATTTGATTGTTGTGGTATAGGCGGCGCTGGAGACTACGAAGATCTGTCGATGGTCGATCTCTACGGAGCCACCAAGTGAGCTCTTTTCCAGTTCTTTCTTATTCGGTAGAACTACCACTAAAAATTTGGATGGCAGGATGAAAATAATGAGCAACAGATTTTTGCTTAGAAAACAACTTTTTTGCAGTCCTTTACCAAAAGACAAAACGCTCTCCTCATGCTCTGGAGAGCACACCACTTGCCTTTATCCGCTGTCGTGTTGCTTGTCAGTGGAATGTACTGAATATCGATTGGCTGAATTAAATATCGAAGGTGATGTGTTCCACGAAAGGTGGTACAAAAGCAGAGGTATTGCTTCTAACTGATACTTTCCTTTCTGCCTTATTAATATGTCGCAGTTCAAAGGGGCGGAGTTAGGAGGCGTGGAATGAGCCCATGGCTGCGTTTTCTACCAATAGGCCGCTTCAGGTAGAAAACAACCAGCGGTAGAAAACGCAGCGGGTGAGCTCGTTCCACCCGCCCCACGCTTGACGCCCGCCCCGCCGGTTCCTACGATATCAGCTGCCGATAACAAGTGTACTAGTTATTATAGGATACGGTGAGTGTAGTCGGTAAACCAATATGCACCGTAACTGCAGGGTGGTGAGCGGTGCTTCCGAGTCACGGAGGGGCGCAAAGGCATATCAAGCGGGGTGACGTAGGCAGCATTCGCACCAGGACCCAACCCCGTGGCAGTGCTGCTGCGCGTCAACTCTCTCAATTACCTTTGTGCCTGTGACTGTCGAGTCAGCTAGCTGGGAAATACTCTGCTAGAGTACGCGATGCCGCCACTCGGAAGTAACGCTCCACGCACAACTGCGGCAGTTGCGCTACACGATCGCGTATGTATCAGGTGGTAGTGTGTATCAACTGCTTGAGCAAAGCACCGACAGGTTTGCCGCTCGTTGAGTAGCGACAGCAAATTGAGCGCTGTTCGGCTTGGGAGGGGCATTTTGCACCTTTGTTAAGTCCTTCCGCTGATTAAAGGTAGCAGCTTGGTGTGACATGTAGAACTGTTGTCAAGCGTATGCAAAACACCCGCTATTGCATATCTTTACAGGAATTAACAGGTCCACACAGAAGGCGTCGACAGTGAACAATGGGAACCAGCAGAATGCCCCCACCAAGCAGAACTGCGCAGCGGATTGATATCAGTGCATCTACCCTGTGATTTTCATTGTCAGTAAACCAACAACTGAAAATCCTCTCTGAAATTGTCATGATCCACGGTTTACCACAATTTCGTAACTTATTGCGC